TGAACTATTTGATATTTTTTAAATTGATCAACTATTTAATTGCAATTTAGTTTCTTTATAATATATTTTATATTAAATTACTAAAACTAAAACTTAAGTAGGTCGTGGTGTAATTAATACTACCATCTAATGGCTATCGTTATATTTTTATATGGTCTAATTGGGTATCTAGTGGGTATGGCGAAATCGCAAGCAACTTAGAGTTAGAATTAGTTTCAAAATTTGTCAAAATATTAAGTGTAGCATATTATCAAAAATAGAGCTTACAATATCTAATTTTTATATGTAACTATAAAATCATATAAAAATTTATTATCTATTTGGTTACAATTGCTCCATAGTATATTTTATAATAAATTACTAAAACTAAAATTATACGGCAACCGAGCTTTTACAGACTTTTCAGTACATATTATGTCAAAGTTAATTCTATTGTAGTTTAGATTTCAATCTACGAAGTATAGTTAGACGGTATGAAGAAATGATTAGCTTTTATTTATTATGTTCTTGTTCTTGTCGATACACATAGATAAAGGTCGTCGCCTAAATATAGGCACTCATATTATATTAGTTCGAGAAATTGCAACAACTTGCCAAGGCACAATGCCATGCAACACTGCGCGACACAATTTTTATGCCTGAGATGCTATGATAGTTTTTAAGTAATTCGATGACGCTGATTTCAAAAACAGTAACAGAAATTTGCTTACAGCTCTAGTTTTTGAAATATGCCAATATGCTGAGTTTACCTCAAATTACAACAAAAAATACAACATATTTGCAATTCTAAGTAGATGTGAAAAAGCGCGCAATTCCAAGTAGATTTAAGAAAAAAGTTCGAGGAAAAAAATAAAAGTGCCATTTTTGTCGCGCAGTGTAAATAGTAATAAAAGGTATTACAAATGTGAATTAGTTTGTTCGAAATTTCTACTAATTTAGTATTCAGATTTTGTTAATATTAAAATAATCATCAAAACGATTTAGAAAATTTTAGATTTGTGTTTGCTTTCCCACATCGCAGTACTCAAACGGCTACTGCTACATTTGGATTATATGAAAAGTTAATAAGAACAGAGTTGACCTTATAGTAAAATAATAAAAAGGCGAACTTTATTATTCCACAAAAGTTCGTCACTGTGTGAATCAATACGTTGGCATCTCGGTAGCAATGTCAAAGCTGTTACAACATTGACTATTATTTACGGCCTCAGGCTAATTACGGGCAACACACCTAACGTAAGTGACATCGGATATTTCTACATGTGTATAAAAGTGTATCAGCCGTCCGGACAAATATTGACGCACACGCGCCGACGAATTGCCGATATTTGAATTCGTGGTTTCTTTTCATTCTTGCGTCGATGTGAAATGAAATTCGAAAAAAATTATTTATGGATTTCTTTATTTGTTTGTCATTTGTAGAGCTATTGTGATAACCTTGAACTCTATTTTTGTCACATTCAGTAACTGTTGAAAAAGACATTTTTAACTTCCCATAGGGTAAGTTATAGTAATCGTGAAAAAATTAAAATTTGGCATACCTTAGAAAAAATGGATATATGTGTGTGTGTGTGCGGATACAATTTTTTGTTTATACGGATTAAATGATTTGAATAATTAAAAAAAAAACAGTCGATTCCTACTGATATTTCGACTCCAACTCATCTATGCAGTGCGATTGCTTAAAAAAATTAAAAATTTTCAAAATAAATCAAAATACAAAAAAAAACTTTTTTTTTCAAAAAATTAAAAATTCCTCAAGAATCTAATTTTTTCAAAGTTTTGCATAGTATTTTTTAATAATTTAGTTTTTGGTGCGAGAAGTTTGTATTAAAATCTCAAGTTTATTTTTTCACTTTTAAGTTACCAAATGAATAAAATCATTAGTTCATTAAAAATTTAACGCATACGATTCGTTTATGATTTTACGTTGGATTAAAAAAAAATTATTTACCACTAATCTCCTTATGCGTTTCTAACAACTAATGTATAAGTTTATATTCTCAGTTACAATTTCTATATTTATATATTATATTACAACAAGCAAGAAATTATACCAATCTGTCGAGACATCACTCAACCTGAGTAAATCCTGTGGTCGTTTTGTATTTGAATAGAGAAAGATTATATAATATCAACAACGTATTTGAATGAAAAAGCAGCTTTATTTGATTTCGTCTCGGGTGTCAACGCGTTTAAATTTATATTTTACTTTTTACGTTTTACTATGTAAAATTAATACATACATAGCGCATTCAGGTTTTTTTATATGTGCTACTGACATTCGATCTTGTAGTCTATAATAAGAGATAGCACAGAAATTATTTTCTATTTTATCATACGCAATGTAAAATAAATATTTAATAATAAATAAATTTAATAATTATTATAAATTAAAGATAGTAGTTTTAGGTAAACTAAAATAAATTCTTATTTTCAAAATTTTTATGATTTAATTATCAGTTATGTTTCTATAACGCTGTTTAATTCCACGAATATTTCTCTCAATCAACAAAAATAAAAAGTTTAGGGGAGACTGGGTACTGGGCACAACCGTACCCAGTCTATCCTGCTTGCTAAAATATCTGACCCAATATTGAATTTTAGAATAATTTGGCGATCGGATTATGAAAACGTAGTAGTAACTAATACAAAAACAGACTAGTGGTGTATGGCATTGTGCCTTAGTGTCAATTACTGGAACCTCTCATACCGTAATGAAATACTAATGGAATATTAAATGTAATCAAATAGATTTTTATAAATACTGCTACTTTCATTATTCTTATTTTATAGGACAAAATATATGAATTGGACGATGACGCTTATATATTTATTGCGAAAAAGTAAATAAACCAAACTTAATCAATCGGATTTAAAATGATGGACATTATCTAATGATTATAAAAATCATATAAACTGAATTGCGAAGTTAAAATTATGTATTTGAAGTATATAAGTGAGCTTTGGAACTTTAGCTAAATTAAAATTAAAATTTAAATTATTTTTGATATCAAAAAAAAAATTTTTTTTGAAAAAAAAAATTTCTCCGAAATCAATTGTTTCGTTTACACAAGCACACACACAAGTTTTTTGAGTTATTCAAATCGGATGCTTAGTTATCTCAAAAACTGATTTTTTTTTGCACATTTAGCCCGTAACTCCGAAACGGCCAGGCCTTACTGTGCCAAAAGCTAATCAGACCGTCTCCCGATCAATAGGAACCGAATGTTTTTTGAACCATTGTGGACGTGGACGAAAATTTGACACATCCATTTTTGCCAAAGTATGACAAAATGTTCAGAAACCTCTGAAACGTAAAGATGTGCAAAAATTTTTAATTTCGATTTTTGGACGATTACAATAACTTACCTCACGGGAAGGTCAAAAATACTTTATAAAAACTTTTTTTTTTAAAGAGAGAGAACACTAAAAGACACTAAAATGCAAAGTATTTATAAAATAAATTTTAGGAAAATCTAGCATTAATGCTAATGTCATCTTTTATGAAAACATTTCTCAAGATTTATTCTAAAGGTTATTAACATAATATAAAAATTAAGGGTGCTGTCAATTCCGATGCCGAGCGAACGGTTTCCATCCCGTATGCGTGTGCTCGACTGATGCTTATGGTAATGTAAGCTAATAAGAAAGCAACCAGCGGCACGTCAATCCCATACGGTTCCTGAAATCACTTTACTCCCCACGGTTAGCAGGTATCATGACGTACTGTCATCAAAAATAACATTAAAAAACACATCCAACATACACAATAAACCTTTCTCTATTCAAGAGTTTACATATCTTCATACTTTTTTTGTGTCGGATTCCGCGGCTTCTTCTGTTCGCGTCAAGTAACGAACTTGACATATTAACAATTTGAATGAAACTGGAGAAGAAAAAATCGCCAGGTACGAAATTAGGAGAATTATTTTTTCAATAAACTTAAATAAAATGAAAAAACAATAATAATGATATTAGTAGCTCAGTGTATGTCTTAGGGGCAGTTTATTTGTCACGTAAGGCTTGAAAGGGGGGGGGGGAGGTGTTTGACACAAAATCTCGAAATATCAGTGATGGGGTTTATTAAAATATCGCGAGCATTTATTTTTTGCCAGAATTTAGAAAAAATCCTAAATTTAAAAAAAATGACATTTTTTTCTTGGTAACCTACCAAAAAAACCACGTAAATTTGGTGCGGGTGGGTATAATTTTAAATATCACATCGTATCACCAAGGAGGAAAGGGGTCTAAATTGATCACCTGATTAGTGGACGCCCGCTTAATATGTCTTTTAAATATGTACATTTTAGAATATTAAAAACAAGAATCTATGTTTTTTAATCATCCCTGCTTCAAAACTTTAGGTAATTATTCTTATTGTCTTTAATATTTTTAAAAAATAAAACAAAAATATCCGTTTTTTTAATAATTAATTCATGCCCATTTCCTCTATTTCATTTAACATCAAGATATGCTTGATATCTGTCTGAAGATAAGTGCGTAATGTCCAGTAGCTTACATTATATATATATATATATATATATATATATATATAATTTTTTCTTCTGTATGAGGTAGCAAATCAGATATGATTGTATGGATCAACGTAGTGGCCAAACGCTGTGTCAAGCAAATCAAATGAGAAACTCTACGGTTGAATTTTTATTTTAATTACATTCAACCGGTATAAAACGTGAAGCTGTTACGCTGTCCACGTGAAAATGTGACATTTGATCATTGAACTGTCAGATATAACTTTTTTAATATTTTTTTGCTTCACTTGAATAAATGTATGAAATTCCCCATGCAAATATCGTGTATATATGGAACGTACATTCGCGACAGAATTAGAATTTTTTGTTGAATTTTAAATAAAACTAAAATTAATAAATGTATCATTGGTATAAATATAGATGAAAGACTTTATGACTGTGGCACTGGTAAACAGGTCGTAAATTTTTCCATTTAGGTGCAGTATCGGTTTATACAATATTGATTTAGCTGTGTTCTATCAAGATATTGAAAGAATTAAAATAACGTATTGTAAACTAATTATTTCGACAATGGATTAATAGGCCTTTCAAATAAAAGCAAATATTTGACAACTGTGCACGATATATTTGTTTGTTACAATACACGCTTGTTGTAGCGCATAGTTAAGATTTTTTAATTAGTGAAATTACATCAGCATGATGTTGTGTACACACAATATGGTATGTTGCATAATGTAAAATGAATATATGTTATATATTTACTATTTGTACTTACGCTGGGTATATTGTCGTTGTTGCAGACCGCTTCGGAGAGAAGGCGATCTCGAATTTCCCAAGCGAAAATGCTTGGACATTCGCGCTTGTAATCGGCGATTTTATTCACGACCGGTGTGGTTGCCACCCGAGGTTTGGACCCGCCAATCGCTCGGGGTTTTATTGAACCGGTCTCATAATATCTGCAATTGAAAAATTAAAATTAATATTATTATATACAATTATTGTTATGAATTAAATGAATAATTATATATTCAATCAACGTCGAAAATATTCACTCTATAGTTTACAAAATGCTGCTTGATAATATGGCATAGGATAGATTGGGGCTTAAAAGTCTGCGCATAAAAGGTCTAACATCATTATCTCAAAAACAAGTAAAGTATGGTATATTTTAACAATACTGTTTTAAAGTAGAGGACAAAAGATGTGTAACCAATTCGTGCGACGTCGCCGTTATGATATAAACAGTAGTATATAAATATTTATAACAAAAGTATTTTTTATCGTTGTACTTTTTTTGATTTTGAGCTCTGTTATTTAGTTTATGATACCTGAATATAATTTTTAAGTATGCGTTATTTAATTGTTTCACAAGATATGTTGTTATGTTTAGATTCAATAGTTCTATTTATATAAACTCTATGAATGCATACATGTGGTTGAAGTAAAACGAACCACATCAACATTTACACTGGCAAAGGTGTAAACGATAAGAATATAGTAATTTAAATTAAAAAAGCAATTTTACAGATATAAATTAATTTAACAGTTATTCCAACTATGCTGATGAATAGTTCTGACGAAGTACCAGATCAAGTTTATATACAGTGTGACCATTGTAAAATAGGTGTTCACAAAATGTTTATTTAGCATTTAAAATTAAAAATAAAACAATATAATTAGGAATTAACTGAAAATTTTACTGAACACAGTTCGGTAGTTGTAATGTTATTCATTTGGTTTAGACAATAAAATTACTGTAAGTCAGAATGAACGTTTGTGCCCTACCCTATCAAATAAAACTCTCTTAACAAATTGAGATTGTCAAAAATTGGTAAATAAATTATATTTATAAAAATAATTCAAAAAAGATACCCATTAGATAAGAAGTAACAAAATTGATACAAAAAAATTTGATCAAGATATTGTTTAACAAAACAGAAAAAAACTTTTTGTGGCGACATCCCTATCACATAATTTGAATATGTATATGTGTAGGATAGAAATATTTGGATTACGTGAAAGGTATCATTTATTGGGTATGCTATTTTTAAAAATAGATGGCAATAAGATTTACATGGCAGCCATATTTACTCAATGTCATTTTATTTATTACGTTCATGAAGTTTGATTTGTGAATTTGTTGTGATTTCGTTCCGTTCAATTGTTTGTGTATAGTTAGCTCTAGATTGCTTGGGTCGTTGTAGTCGAGTACTCAAGTTTTAAAATCACAAGTTTGTCATAAAATTTCGGTAAGAAGTTTTGTTTACTTTTTACTCATTAGAATGTTGTTTTAATTTAACTCTTTGGGGACGGCTGTCTACATGAGAGGATAAACATACTCTCTGAGGCACAGGCTATTTTATAAATAATGACTAAGTTTGCATCAAAAAGTTGAATAAATTACATATAGCAGTGATAAACAGTGTTGTAATTTGAAAATAATGTTAAGTTATTTGAGTAGTATTTTTAGCCTTTTTCTTTGCTATATAGTTTTTTTTTAATATTTAAAACGATCGAGCGCTTTTAAATATGGCAAAACGACTGGTAAATTTTATAAATTAAGCAGTAGTGAAAATGAGTTTCAAATAGACATTCAAACAGACAAATTTTACGATATTACTATTCGCACCGAAGATAGTGATGAATGTGATGATGATATTATCCAACCAACAAAAAGAAGAAGAAGTTGTAGAAATTAAATGAAGAGCAGAAAGACATTAGCGAATGTGCCGATTCTCCTTCAATAATCGAGTCTGACATACATCAACAAACACCCCGACTACAAATACCAAGCAATATAAGACATCCAAGAGATTATTTTACTTTATATTTTACAAATGAACTATTAGACAATATAATAGAAAAAATAAACCATTATGGCAGTACAAACAAATATACGGACTAATCAGTGGCATATTCTAAATGCGAGAAAAAGAAAAAGGGATTGTATTGTCTGTTTTGACAGAAAAGTACTAGAAGGAAGGCGGCGAACAACATTTAATTGTAAAACATGTCAAAATCCATCAGCTATGCATTTTGGAAATTGTTTTGAACGTCACAATTTTTTTATAAAATATCAAAAATAAATTAATATTATAAATGTATGTCCTTCAATGACCACAAATTTTTATCAAACAAATTTCATAACATATACAATGAAATCAAGTTTACAGCCGGTATAGTATATTGTTTTGGAATCGGTGCCGTCCCGTAAGTGTTAATTCTAAATGAGCGATGAACTTATTCTACAATTATCTGCTAAACGTCTTATACATATGCTGTATTATTAAATCCTTAAGAGCGAATGAGTTTCTTTACATTGCTATCTGGCGATATTTATTAATGCAACGTACGGCCGCCTAAGGAGTTTCGCAGTAGAACGATTCGGTTCCACCATGCGGATCATCATACGCGAAGTTTGATTCGATCAGCGCGCCGCGCCGGTAGTCGGTAGCAAGTGTGAAAACCAAAACCGAAAAATGTCGAGAGAGTATCGCGTTACGTCAAATTATCGCGTTTGGTCAGCGGAGGGTGAAACACGCATTTGCTACCGCAAACGCTTCGCGTCGCGTCGTGTGCGTCAATTTTCCGGTGTGAAATTTCATCGCCGATTCACTGACTTGGGGATGAGAGATATTGACGAAACGTCGATTAATGAACTTTCAATTCAGTCAACATCGATAGTGCAAAAGCCAAATATTTATAGCCAATTTTTATTCATAGTTTTTATTATTTATTGACTAACAGCAATCAGAACTATTAGGTTCTATAAGCTGCTTAATTCTACGATTATAAGACGCTATAAGCAATCATTCCATTGATTGCCTCACTTGGACTGATATATAGTTTTATTATTTCTGAACGATGTTAGTGACTTGCTTCACTAACTGTGATATTGCGGCTATGCCCACGAAAGGCGATTTTGCCTTGTGATCATATTTGAGATCTATAACTTCAAGTGAAAATTTGACATCATGCTGCCTGATGTCGGGCTTGGCCGATGCTGGAATCGAACCGTCGAACCCGCGACCAGTTTGTGCTAGACCTAGATGCGTTTTTTGTGAACTTTTTAACTCAAAAATTAATGATGACTATTTCATTTCATCGACTCAAACGAAAATTAACCCTTTTGCTATGAGCGTCGACTATAGGCAACATCCGCTTGAAAACCTGTGTGTACGAGTGTTATCTAAAGACGGCATAAAATGTGTCAAATTTTGTTTCACTCTGAGTAAAATTATTGATAATTCTAATTTGTTATTATGGTTTTTAGTTTCTTAGAAGTAATTTTTATATTTCAAATACATTTTCAACGATTTTCAGCGGATTTGAATGATTCAACAATATTTTACTTGTATTAACGGAATGAAGATTGATTACATTTTTGAGTGGGCAGTGGTAAAATGATCATTAGACATATACACATCAAATTATTAGATATTTTAGATAGATTAATAATAAGTACATTTTTTTCTATTTCACATTTTGGTATTGAGATTAATAATGTATAGTATAACCTTTAGACTGCAACACCATCTTCAACTAAGTATATCACATCTTGTAAACGCTTCATAGTCAATATATAGGGTAGGGCGGGGCTAGTTGAGCAAATTTTTACTTAAACGGATGTAGCTCCTCAATGAAAAGTCTCAATAAATTGCTATACGGCTTAATGGATTTGTTGTTTATCGCTTAACAAAAGTGTTAATA